ACATGGTTGAGACTTCGCTTTACTTCTGAACAAACGAGAAAGCAGAGAGAGACAGAGAGGGACCTAGATAAGGTCCCTTCACAACTGCGCCCAGTGATCTATTTACTCCTGCTCGTCCTCACTTCTAAAGTTTCCAAAACTTCCCTAAATAGAGCCAACAGACATGTTTAATGCATGAGCCTGCAAAGGACCTTTCCCACTCAAACCTATATAAAAAAAATTCTTTGTTCTTCCAGATCATGTTTCCTTTAAACATTATATGTTTTCAAGCCAGACTGACCACCTTTGTCTCTTAACTAAAACATTAAGTCATTTACAGTGCATTGAGTAATTACTTAAATACCTAGTTTTACACCCCATCTTGTTATTTCTCATGTCTGTTGTATCTTAATTTCTTCCCTCTTTCTTGCCTTCTTTGGATTGATTGTGCATTCTTTATTTCTCTTTGGTTTAATTTAGAAGCTGTCAAATCATCTTAATGTTCTTCCAGACTTTGGGCATTTCAGCATGCATCCCTGGCTTATCTTCCCAGACAATGCAACGACCTTGGAAACTTCTCTCTAAGGGAAGGAGATGCTAGAGACTGAACTATACCTCTAGCTGAAGGATCATGGAGCATTAAACGCCATCCCCCACCCTATGACTTCTACATTGTTATTTACTTTTATTTATTTAGAATTATAGTTTAAATAATGTTGTGATGTTCTATCAGCTAGCCTCAAACACGAGTTCAAATAATCCTCTTATACCAGCATCCTGGGTACCTAGAACTAAAGTTATAAGCCTCCAAACCTGGATTATCATTTATTTTAATTCTACATACATTGAAAACTCTTTAGACACTATTGCTATTGTTCTATGTCGTTCATGTTTGTTTAAATTTACCATATATACAGTTTCCTTGTTCTTTCTTTTCTTCTTTCAACTCCAACATTCCTTGTGCTTAAATAATGTTCCTCAGAGTGGTTTAAAGGCAAAATCTGCTTAATCAATGCTGTTAGTTTTTGTTTATCTGTGTGTGTCTTGAAGGATATTTTTCTCAAATATTGACTAAGTCAAAACTGGTACGATTTTGAGTTTGGTTTCCCTAGCAAATTAGAAGAACTCTCTTTGGCCTGGCTTTCCCAGTTCCTGTGGCTGTGTGTTGTCAGTGTGGCTTCCCTGTCTCTAGACCCTCCTTTTGGATCGTTTTTTATGACCTTTGTCTTAGGACTCCTGCAGTTTTCCTAGCATTGGATACAGACTTGTTTTGTTTCCCCTGGTAGGGCTCAGAGTATGCACTGATGCCTTTCATCTAGTTTGGAACAAGCACTTTGAATGTTAGCTTTTGCTCTTTTGTGTATATGTACGGGGAACATATGTATGTGTTGGTGTGGGTGTACACCTGTGTGGGTGTGGATTGTCTACACATGTGTGCGTATGTGCATGTGCTTGTGTATTGTCGTGGGATATTTGTACACTGTGTGAAGGTCTAATGCTGTGATCAGTGTAAGAAAAAGCTAAACAGTCAATAGCTAGGCAGGAGGTATAAACGAGATTTCCAGGCAGAGAGAGGAAGTAGAGGGAGGAATCTAGCACATGACAGAGACACAGAAGAAACAGGAAGAGCAGAACATGGTAGAACTGGATGTATCTCGAAGGATATTTTTATCAGATATGGACTAAGTTAATTTAAGTTATAATTAACTTATAGATATGGGCTAATTTAAGTTATAAGAGCTAGTCCAAAACAAGCCTAAGCTAAGGCCAGGTTTTCACAATTAATAAGAAGTCTCTGTGTCATTATCTGTGAGTTGGTGAAGCAAGGTACAATACATCTACAGTGTACACACACTGGGGACCACAGCTCATCACTCTCTGACTTGTGTTTTGAACATTATCTCTCACTGCACTTGGGCCCTACTGACTGGCTAGGTTGGTTAGCCAATTGTCTTCAGGGATCTACTGTCTCTCCTCCCTCGGCAGAGTGCTGAAGTTACAGACACATCCCTCCATGCAGGGTTTTTATGTGGGTGTGGGTGAGCTTTTACCAACTGAGCCATCTCCCTGGCCCAAATGTTGCTTTTGTATGTACTAGTCTGCTCTGTGCCCCTCCCCCTCTCCAAGCATCTTCATCCTAACTCTTGGAGATGCTTATGATTCCTTCTGTCTTTCCCATACTTGCTTTTGATTTGGGGGGTTTTTTGACTATATTTGACTTTCTAGAAGAAACTAAAATCAGTTAATCCCTTAAAAACTTTAACGGATTGCTTCATCAGATTTTAAAATCTACAAATTCTTTCTCTTGTTACCTAATTTTTTCTATGGATGTAATTTATTATTATATTTTAAGCTCTGTGGTTTCCAGTCCCTTTTCAATCAGACTTGCTTGTCTTTTGCAAACTGGCAATTGCCTGCTAAAATGTTTGACCTTGGCTTTCATAGACTTTAATCTTTGAAAACTGTCGTTCTCTAGCTTGTTGGGGAGGTTGCAACGTTTGGAGTCTTCCACTATTTCCATTCTCTCTCTCTCTCTCTCTCTCTCTCTCTCTCTCTCTCTTTTTAGGCTGCTTTGGTCTATGTTACCATGGCTCCCCACCCAAATGGTTATCTTTGATTATACTATGGATACGGTATTTGGCAAGTAGATTGTAATGATGATTTGAGGCTTAGGGCTAGCTCTGCTGCCCCCACAGAGGTGACTGTAGTTTGCATCTGCATGTACCACAGGCAGCAGTTCCAGATCTCGGATGGAAATTGGGGTTGTCTGGTAGCTGCAGCACAGCTGCACTGTGAGCTTCTCATGCACACTCTGAGGGTCATGCAACAGCAGAGGAGGAAAACAGGGCCCCACACTTGGAAGGCCAAACTCTGTTTTCCTTCGCCTTAACAGCGACACAATCTACCATTAGGTTCTCATTACCTCTTCCACACTGATTAGTGCTGCTGAGGCACAGGTGGCCAAATTTGCCCCTGGGTTTGCAGTTTTCTCTTGGCTCTTGCAGTAATTCCTTCCATTCTGTTAGCAACATGTTGATGACTATATTATTTGGTTGAAGTTTTAGTTAAGGGCTGCACTAACTGGTTTATTATGACATGAATGAAATGTGTCTCTCACGCAAATTGTGAATCAGAGTCTATTCTGTGATCTGGGACTTAAAAGTATGTTTGGCTTTTGACAGCTTCCTTGTGGTTACCCCATAGGTAAAAAGGATTTGAGCAGAGTCTCTTAGACTCTTGGAATTTTGTTTTTGTATAATCAACACTACTTAGAATGAAAACATTGGGTTTTGCTGGAGGAATGTTTTAGCTTCCCATTACCATAAAAAGTACCTTAGTTAATCAGTCTATAAAGAGCAAAGGGTGATTTGGTCTCAGTCTCAAACTCTTGTCCATGATCACATGGTCTTGGTGGAAAGCCACATGACAATGACTTGGAGCAGGAAGTACGCCCAAAATGCTCACATGGAGACAGAGTAGATGAAAGAGGAGACTGGAGCTATAATCCCCTCCAGATACACAGCCCACAATGATCTGAAGACTTTCCCTAAGCATCCCACCTCTTAAGGTTTCACCATCTCCCAGGAACACTACATTGAGGAGAAAGCTATTAATACATGGTCTTTGGGGAAACATTCCAGATCCCAAACTAAAGGAAGAGCCCAAAGGAAGAGCCAGAGGCAGTGTCCACTGCTTTTCTCCTATATCTAGGAGAGCCTGGATATGTAGGTGGTAGTATCTGACTGGGGGAGTGGGGAAAATGTAGATGAAAGTTTCTGTCCCACCCAGTCCTGCAACCATTTGGTCCCAAATAAATACATAGAGGCTTATATTAATTATAAAATGTTTGGTCTAATGCTCAGAATTATTACTAACTAGCTCTTCCACTTAAATTCACCCATAATTCTTGTATATGTGTAGCCACACATGGCCTGGTACCTTTTCTCAATGAGGTATTCTCATCTTGCTTCCTCTGCATCTCGCTGGTGACTGACTCTCTCTCCCTTTCCTCAGAATTCTCTTAGTCTGTTGCCCCGCCTGTATTTCCTGCCTGGCTACTAGCCAATCAGCATTTTATTAAACCAATACAAATGACAAATCATTACAGTGTACAAAAGCATTATCCAACAGCAGGAGAAGAAAAAAGCTTCCTGGTGATTTGCTACAGTTTGGATTCTAACTTATGGAGCCATCACTACTAATTGTCCTCATCCATCAATTGCACTTGTGAATGTAGCCTTAGCTTGCCTGAGACCAGGGAGAGAAAAGAGGATGGGCACCACCTGTCTTACTGAGGCTAATGAATCAACAGTCTTATGGAAGAACAAAATGTAGAATCTCAAGCTCCATCCAAAGGAGTGCATCTGACGAAGGGTCATACCAATCCAAGAGTCCCCAGTTCAGCTTCCTTCACCACTATACAAAGCCATCCTATCACTATAGCAGCCTGTCAAAACACAGAAAAGTTGATTGATAAGGTCATTATCAATTCCTACAGCATGGAATCATAGGAGGCAAATGTGTTTTCATAAGGAGGGGGTCCTTTGGTGGTCTTTGTTCCCATAGTGTGTCTGTCTTTAACCCTCCCTTCAACAACCAAGAATGCCTTTGATGGTGGCTTCCAAAACTCTAGCTATAAAAGAAACAACATGGTTTCATTTCACAAAGTATAAGAGAAATTAGATAGTAATTGTTATTTGGGATTCATTAATTTAATTAATGCATTATTGCGTTGGTTTTATCTCTCTTTCTTTTTTGCCTTACTCTAATTCTAAAACGAGAAGCAACTGTCTTTGAAAAGAGCCATACCTTCTCATGCCTGTCAGGAGCACATGTCAATGCCACAGGTTACCTTATGGTCAAGAATTATGCACCTGATTTATTGAAAAGAATAACTGAATTTGTTGCACTCAACAGCAACCATTGGATTATTTTTGATGTTAAAAAACAAAATAGACACCCATGCCTAAAGTCATGCATATAAAAAGCCAACAGGATTAAACATACAAAGGAAACTAAAGATTAGTTTCTGGGTAGACATTTAATTGGCAAGGGCAAATGGAAATTATCTTCATTGAAATCTCAGGGAATAAAACTCTAAGCTCTGCCTTGTACCTCTAAAGTCTCTTCTATGGGGAACAAACTCTGCCGAGGAAGAGCACGTTAGCTGTGGGATTGTGCCGAATGAAGAAGAGGAATGGGTGATCCACTGTGAATTCTTCCTCAGGCAACAGCATGGCGAACGTAGCGATGCCTGCTGTGGCGGCTGCTGCCTCTGTTCCCTCCTCATTCACTTCCACGAAGGACTTATGGATGATTTTTGATATGAAAAGATCTTTGGATCCTGACATGCCAGACAGATCAGCCTTGCCACGGCTAAAGAGATCCTGCACTCCCAGGCTGCTGAGGTTGGAGTTGAGTGTGTAGCTCTCTTCCAGCTTGAATCTGGGCAATTTGACATGGACATCAATGTTTTCCAAGTTCTCACGCTTGGTCCACTCATGAAGCTTTTCCAAAGTCAATTGCTCCTCAATCTAGAATTAATGTAAGGCAGAATTATTACTGTGATAAGGTACTATTCAAATGAATGGATTCACAATTGGCACTGCTCATACGGTTTTCTTCATGCTTTCTGCCCCAACAGATTCTATTTAAAAGATTTCATTTTTGTCTGTCAGTTGATGGAATATAGCAGAACTGTTTTCTAGGTTCTTGAGGGTCCAAGTACAAACACATTCAACACTAAGTCTGTTAGCCATTCTCCCACCCTCCTGCTCATCTGCCCATCCATCCTTCTCTCTATCCATCATCTACCCATCTCTCTCCTTCCACCCATTGGATTCTTCATTCAGTCCATCATCTATCCATTTCTCCATCCATTCAGGATTTCTAAACCTCTATCACAATGAATCTCTTTTATAAGCCACCACAGCTTTTTATTATTGTACTTGCTTGAATGGTACAAGGGAAAATTTAAAAGTTTCTTCTATTTATTCTGAACCACCCTAAAGTTGCAGTGATCTGTAAACTCCACTGTAGCTGAAGTAGTCTCTAATAACTTTCAGATAAAAATTAAAAAAGGAACACAATGGATGGGACTTGGTTCATTTCAAACAAGGAAAGAAGCTTGCATAGGGCACACAGATGCAATCCCAGCATCTGTGAGCCACTGACGAAAGGTTGTGAGGTGAAGGCCACCCTAGACTGCACAGCAAGACCTTGTCCATGGAGGGGAGTAGAGTCGAGTCAAGTAGAGCAGAACAGAATAGAGGAGAGTGGAGTGGAAAGAATAGATAGATAGAAAAGAATAAGGATACTAATGGCACCAACTTTGTAGCATTGTTGTGACTATTGAATAAATTGATGTATTTAAAGGGTTTGACACAGAGTAAGTACCATATAAATATCATGTATTGTTGTGCCTCTGTTGGACTAGAACAGAACCACTTACCTTATGGATAGTGAAGATTTTTTTATTGAGATTAAAGCCTTATTTTATAATAAAATAAAATATCAGAAAGAAAATGCAACTGACAAAAGGACCCCATTCATAGTGTCAGTAGTCAGTACCTACTCTGTACTTGAGAAATGACCCCAGGTCCTTCCTGATTGCCAGAGTAGGCTGGAAAGGAACAAGAGCTAAGACACACAGTGGCCTAGGATTTCTGAGGGAAAACTGTAATCTTCACAATTGTGTCTACCTCTAACCCTGTCAGGAGACAGCCAATCCCCAAGGATGGAAATCACTTCTTACTATAGTTGCTTTCAAGTTACTTCAAGAGGCTTTCTGTGAGGGACCACTCATCACTGTTCCATTTTCCTTTAAATCCTTAGATGTTCCTCTGTCACAATGGCTCATGGGAAGCCGCAGATATTCTGAACATTTAAACTGCAGGCTTCTCGGTTGAGAATGTGGCTCAGCAACAGACCGCTTACTTAGCACAAGGTACTTGGTGTACTTCAAATAATAAGTAGTAATAATAATGATGATGATGATAACAGTATAAACATGAGGCCTCAGAGGAGCAAGCTCCGATGGACTATATTAACAAAAACGGTGGTGAACTGGAAGGGATTTCCTGTAAAGTCTATGGATGAACAGCAAGCGTAGGGAATGTATAAGCGCAGCACAGTGAAAGGAGCCATGAATCGTGATGCCAACACCAGGTACCTTCTTAAGACCAGTGAACTCATCCTCGATGTCTTCAGGCAACAGAATGACCATGCTAAGTTCTTCCCCCTGGTATGGCAGCTCCAGCACCTTGCAGTTCAGATCCTGAATGTACCCGAGTGGAAGTTTTTTCTTTTGATACATCATCTTCACTGTTTTTGTGTCTTTCTGGATGGTTATAAAAAGAAAATCACCCCAATTATTCCCTCTTGTCTTTCAAAGAGAGGGGTTTGGGGCCTTGGGGAGGAGTTCTCAGTGGTAACAGCCTGGCTTAGTGGGGAGGCCCTGTGGTATATCCCTGGCACTCACACATGTACAAACAAGAACCGTCCAAGATGATAATGTCACCTGACCTTATTCAGTCGGAATGGAGCATCGGCTGTGTCCTGCTTCCTGAATTTATCCTTCCACATTCCCTTGAAGTAGATGGCATTCACCAGCACAAGTTTGGTCATACTGTCAACCACACCCGCAGCTAACAGTTCTGGAATTTTCCCTGAAAAGATAAAGTCAGCCTTTTTTTAAAGCTCCACATTGGAATTCCAAACTGGAACCGATAATCTATTGGCTTGAAAATGTGATTCAGACCTAGAATTTGAACTTTATTTTTGCTTTAACTCAGTGTTAAGTTAGGAATTTTGTCCCATTTTTATTTGAAATAAGCCAATTTGTAAGACCCACAAGTCTCACTGAAAGAGCTTGTGTCTAGCATGTCCTAAGGTTCCATCCCTTGAACCAGAAAAATAAAATCACTAAAATAAGTCAAATGTCTTCAAAGGTTTACAATCAGAACATTCTTCTTTCCTGGGTGGAGACAATAACCCTTATTTTGTGAATGATTGCTTCTTTACAGAAAACAAACAAGGAATTCCACTAAGGAGTGAAAATGTTTGTAGTCACTGACAAATGATGTCTTCAAATCTGCTAAGTAGAAGCCTGTTCTCATGAAAAGGATTTTTTTTAACAAATCTCTAAGAGATGAGACTCAGCCAGTGAGTAAGTCTATTGAAACAGAAGCCATTCTCCCCACAGCCTGGCACGCTGCTGGGTGGGAAGGGACGGGCTCCCTCCCCTGGGTGCTGACTCACAGTAGCAAGACTGAAGAGAGATCCATTACCAAGCTGAATTGGGCCCAGAGAGTGAGTCACTCCCGACTCACTACCTGGAGTTACTGTAGGACAAGATGCTGCCTGAAACTATTACGAATTCAACGGTTTCTAAATACTGATTTCATATGTTCCGTGAGGTTTCACAACCCATTTCTTTCAATACCTGCATGAAACACTTTGGGAGAGGCATTTTTTATTAATTTTATTCTGCATTTCAATGTTGATTTTAACTTTACATTGTAGCTTGGGGGAACCCATAGGTACTCAACTGCTTCCATTAAACCTCTTCACTGATAAATTTCTAACATCTGAAGTTCTCCCTTATACTAGGGAGCATGCCAGTGCCCATAAGTCAGGAGTTGGGAAGTTGAAGAATGGAGAAAGAAGGAGATGCAAGTGAGAGAGTGGAAGGGGGAGTAAGAATCTGTGCACAATGGCTCTGCTATGGTTCAGAAGAGCTCCCCAAATGCCCTTGTCTTAAAGGTTTGGTCCCTGATCCATACAGCATTGAAAGGCAGCAGAACCTTTAAGATGTGGGACCTAGTCAAGGGTCTTTATGTCACCGGGGAATGCATTTTCTTTTTGTTTTTTTTTTTTATTTTGAGAGAGGGTCTTGCCATATATACTCAAAGCAATCCTCTTGCCTCAGCCTTCTAAGTGCTGGGATTGTAGGTCTTCATCATCAAACCCATTCTAGGGGAGGGATGCTGCTATTGAAAATAATGGTAAGACACTGGTCTCTCCCTCTTCCTTTTTAGTCACCAGTGAGGTGAACGGGCCTCCTCTGTCATGTTGCACAGTTCCCCAAGGCACTGTATTTTCATAGGACCAAATCAATAGGGTCAATTGGTTATAGACGGAAACCACCCAAACTGTGAGTCCAAATCAGTCTTTTTTTCTCTGTAGCTGATTGTGACAGGTATGAGCAACAGCAAGAGGAAGCTGACTAACAGCCAGCGCAGTTCAGTCTCTTACCTTCAGTTTGATCTTTGACCCACTTGTTTATGGCCTTCCTTGCATCGTCAGAGGCATGCTGAAAATCCACCGGGGCCAGGTCAGCACCATACATTTTCTGAGTTGAAGCCAAGAACTCCTATTTTTTAAAAAGAAAGGGCTATGAATAACTTCTCTTCCCTAAAGAAGTTTTCTAAAATTGTGAAAAGAAAAAAGTCACAAAAATTAAAAAGTTTCATTAAAATCTAAACTTTGTACTTTTTTGTTGTGTTCAAAAATGCATAACACTAAATTTACTGTCCTAACCAATTTTTTAAGGTTATGGTGGAGTAGTGGTAAATATAGCTCTTTATTTAACGTTTTTGATGTTAATACAAAGGTTACTAATTCTTTTTGAATCTTATATCAATGCTTCATAAGCCAGCAAGTGTTGATTATACTTCTAGTGGCTTTTCAGATCTGCTTTTGTTTTGTGTGTGTATGCATGTGGTGTGTGTGTGTGTGTGTGTGTGTGTGTACATGTGTGTGTGTGGTGTGCATACCTGTGCATCTGTGGAGTGTATGTGTGTGTATATGAGTGTATATGGGCGTGATTTCCTGTGCATTTGTGGAGGCAAGAGAAGTTATCAGGTGTCCTGGTCTTACGCTCTGCCTTATTCCTTTGAAACAAGGTCTCTTCCTGAGCCTGGCTGGGGTGGTGGTCCCAAGCCCATGATCCACCTAGTTTCATTTCCCACAGTTCTGGGATGGCAGGAGAGTATGAGGCTATGTCTGGCATCTTTTATGGGTACCGGGATCAAAACTCAGGTTCGCAAGCTTGCACGGGAAGCTCTCTTACCCACTGAGTCACTTCAGTACTGCCCTTGTTTTAATAAAGCATCAAGGAGGAACTTTTTGTTAGAAAGACTGTGAGATGCAAGCTCCACCTGTATTCTCGGTTGTTTTTATGAATGACCTGCAACATGGCTGTGATGGGAAAAGTCCGTATCCCTTTAGGCAGTTTCAGAACGTGAAGTTCTCTGTACTTACGGGAAGGAAATCGTAGGTTTTCTCTCCATACAGTCTGTTAGCAAGTTTCAGAGTGTGGGAAGCCCCACGCTTGCTCACTTCAGCATTCAGGCTTTGAAATCCTGAATGAACATCCTCAACAGCATCAAAATGAAAGGCCTAAAGTAAAAAAAAAAAAAAAACAAAAACACAAACAAACAAACTTCTTTATACAACCACTGATTTTGAAGTTATAAAATGATTCCTTAATGCCTGCTTCCATCAAATTATTATTTTTTCTTAATGCTGTTTAGCTCCAACCTAGTGTTTTATTAATATGTCATCTGGAGAGCAAACAAAACTGAACCAGAAATATACGGCCCAGTGAGGCCTAATAGTTACATTAAACTTGGCTTCTAAATAATTTTTAATAGTTTCACACATGTGAATGCTTAACACACTAAATATTTATATCTGATTTTTCCCCAAAAAGATTAAATGGTATGATCATTTATATATTATGGGGCATATATAATTCTGCTTTAAAAAAAATCTCAGAAATAGTGAAAATAAGTGAGATGCAAAGGTAAGGCTGGCTGGGGCCTTTTTCTTTTGTTATCTTATTAGAGTCCACAACTCACTCCCTTGAAAAACAACTTCCTTAAGTTTATTCTGGCGAGAGTGTAATTCTTCATCTATTAGGGGCCAATCAATGGGCCCTTTATGGTTTTATGAGGCCTGGGCTGGTTACTCCCTCTATGGCACAAAGGACAAAAGACACACAGGGTCCACAGTTCATGCTACTCACTGAGGTATGCAGTGCTTGCTACGAGGATGCACCTACTGGAATGAAATGTGGACGAAGAAGCCTGGAGACTATTTGTTCCTGAAGTTGTCAGCCCTGTGAAGCCCGCAACATTGAAGTGGATGCATCCTGTGAGAGGCACCTGGCCGCAAGTGCGGAGTAACCAGGCAGGTTTAGTTAGGAAACTCCTTCCCCATCCCTGTCTAGGCTTCCAAAGGTGGCAGAATTCCCTCTCAGAGTTAACAACAAGAGCAGAAGTCCCCTCAACACACATTAAGGAAGACTAGGAAGCTCCGGAAAGGGAGACAAAGGTGACCTGCTGTCTCCTGTGTGTGTGTGTGTGTACGTCTGCATGGTGGGAGAGTGTTGATCCCTTTCGCCAGGCCACAAGGACTCTCCAATCCCTCCTTCCACAGAACCAGTCAGTCAAAGGAAGCTGAAGAGAGGCACAGGGTAAACCCTGGGAACACCGACAGGTGGCTGGCTATTTTTTACCTTGTCTCTGCAAACAGGCACCACCACCATCCTGCCTTCTGGAGCATGTTCTTATATCTCTCACGCTGCAGGTTATACTGTATTACAGGCACGATAAATGAGCATTGGTGTTCCATGCAAAATGAAGATGGGACGAAGCCTGCTCTGAGGAGGTGAGGGGCTTACGGGAAAGCTGTCAGACTCACTCCTGGGAATAGGAGCACCAAGCCTGCAGGTATTGTCTTTGTTCATGCTATCTCACCAACTGAGCAGAAACAGCGCTCTACGCGTAGTTAAGGCTGATAGAGAATGAACAACTGATCTTGTTCTCGGAGGGGCTTTTCAGAAACTCTGACTGCACCCCGAGCAGCTACTGAACCCAGTTCGACATGGTTTAGAAAACACCAGGAGAGCTCAGAGGCACGGCTGTTCGCAGGGAGTGAGAGAGAGAGAGCTGGTCAGTGTTGCTTCTGCTCACCTTAGAGAGCTGGGCTGCAGTGTCACCTTTGGTCCCCAGAAAGACCATGGCCAAGGCAGAGGAAATGCTGAAGGGTGAGATGAAGATGTTCCCCGTGGAGTTGTTTTCCGTCAGGGTGCGAAACAGCTCCAAGGCAAAGAGGGTGTTGGCTGTGCTCAACTGCTCCATGGTGAGGGCTGCAACACGGAGCCGGAGCCGAGATCAGCATTCCCCAGCTACTGCGCCAGCAAGACCAGCTCCCTTAACTTTGCCAACCACCCCTAAGACCCTGCAATTTAGGACCTCCCAGGCTCCCCATCCCACCCAGTCCGAACCTGTCCAGTCTTATCTTTCTCAAGAGGACAAGAATACTCTCCCAGGCACACAAAATGGGGGCTAGACTTCAACTGTGACATAGACCCGGAGCCTAGGGTGTCTTATGACTCTAACACCCCCCATTACACAGCCTTCTGTCTGGAGCTCTCTCTCCCTGTGTTAGTCAAGGCCTTGTTCATCTGGACAATGAATCCAGAAAACCACATCGACTTACTCTGCACAGAAGCAGATTCTGGTAAAGATGACAATGTTGTCATTTTAGGGATTCAAGGCTCCATGCCTGAGTTCCAGTCTGCAATCTCGGTTCGAGTGAAATATGCAGGTCTGAGAAACCCTCTCTCCCAGAGTCACACCGTGGGCGACAGGGAAGAGGACTCTCTGGAGTCACCTTTTGATGCCTACAGTGGGTAAGCGCTGCGTGGGGGGCCATCTGCTGCTAACCTGGGTCTCTCCACTCAAAGCTTGTTTGTTCAAGTTCGGGCCAATCACAGGCGCCGTGGCTACTTAGCAACCAGGGCCAAATCCAGTTCTTATTATTGAGGATCTAGGATTCCCCTCCGAGCCTCCCTGCAGACCGGATTGACCCGGCGCGGCTGCTGGCCACTGTCCCTTAGCTTAAGATCTAAAAAAGGGAGCTGGGGGGAAAAGAAAATTCTGACTGGGATCGTCCTCCCTCTAGTCCGGGCGGGCGTGAGGTGGCGCTGGGGATCCAGGAAGCATTCCCGAATCAGCTTGGGTGAGCGTTCTGCGCAGGGAGCACGAAGTCTTGTGTCCTCCTGCCAATCACCTTCCTACGATGCCACCCGCCGGCCTTACCTGTAGCGTAGCAGTACCAGCTGCTGCAGTTCTAGGAAGCGCCCAGGGCCAGCTGCAGCCCTTATAGTATGCGGAAGGGGAGTGTCGTCCTGGCAGGCCCAGCCTGGGTAGGGAGGTTCCTTCCTTGGTGACTGCTTACAACTGAGTTTGCTGGACAGCAAAAGGAAAGCGGAAGTTTGAGCGACCAGCAGGGACTCGTACTTTTCTCAGTTCTAGGTCTTTCTCTGTTTCTCTAAGAAGAGACCTAATAAACTATTTCTTCCTGAGCTGTGAACAGCCGAAAGGATAAATGTGACCTCTCACAGGCGAAAGGATTCCCTGTTGAGTTCCACTGAAACAGTGGGAAAACTCTAGGGATCAGGATCGTTTGTGTGTTTGTAGAGGGATGGGGTGGAGAAACACATCATGGCCGCTTGTGGGGAAAGATCCTCTTGGATAACGCAGCTAGTTCTGAGCAACATCCTTGACTGCTCTGCCTTTCGGGTCCCACGGCTAGTGTCTGGACCTGTAATGTCAACAGAACCTTTCAGTTGTTGTTGGTTCAGCTGTTGGTTTCAGTTGTTCAGTGGGTCCTTGTCTGCACACAGGGATCCTTGGATTGTCCATTCATTCAGTCGCCACACTGACTAGGCTGTCGGCAATGGCAGAGGAGACAGTAAAGACGTAGCCTGACGTGGTGGCAGGGGTGGTCCGCATGGTCCTAACTATGCCCAATCTAGGTCAGAAGAGTGCCACAGAGTGACCGGATGGCAGCCACGCCCAGTATACCCATGCGATTGCAGTTTTACAGAGTCATCAGTGGGCACACCCCTGAGACCTGGACCTTAAGCCACAGAAGGAGCCAGACAGTATAGGCCACTCGGTCCCTGCTAATAAGTTAGCTTGTAGAGTCAGCTGATCCCTTGGTATTTCATCTGGACCCAACCTTTAATATACCATTTCCAATAAACCATAAAATTCTGTTGTGCCTGTCTTTTTTTAACCCAATTGTGTTGCAGATCGAAATACCCAAGACTGGAAGATTATAAAACCACAAAAATTTGTCTGATAGCTCTGCAAGCTAGGGAGTCCAAGTTGGTCAGGTTGCCAGCAGGTTTGCTGTCTGCTTTCAATGTGGTATCTCCTGAAGATGGTGAGATGGTTCAGTGGGTCAAGGTGTTTGCCACTAAGCCCGATGACCCGAGTTTGAAGCTTGGAACCCACAGTGTAGAAAAAGAACTGATTCCAGAAAGTTGTCCTCTGACCTCTAAAGCATGCTCAACCATGCCCGTCTGTTGTAGCATGTTCTTGGTCCCCTCAGTATTGTACCAAGCTCTTAGCTCTTAGGCAGGGTGTGGTTAGTAGCTCTTAAGTCCCCTCAGTATTAGAGCAAGCTGTGTTTCAGAGATCCATAGAGGTTACAGGAGAGTAGGCAGGAGGGTTGAGGAGAACTTGAGGGAATGGGATAGTCAAGATAGAGGAAGGACAGAGATGAGAGCAAGGAAAGAGATATCTTGATTGAGGGAGCCACTGGAGGGTTAGCAGAAACCTGGCTCTAGAGAAATTCCCAGGAATCCACAAGGATGATCCCAGCTAAGACCCTAAGCAATAGAGGAGAGGGGGCCCAATCTTGATTTGCCCTGTAGTCAGACTGATGAATATCTTAAATATCACCATAGAACCTTTATCCAGCAACTGATAGAAACAGAGGCAGAGACCCGCATCAGAGCACTGAACTGAGCTCCCAAACTCCATTTGAAGAGTGGGAGGAGTGAGAATATGAGCAAAGAGGTCAAGACCATGATGGGGACACCCACTGAAACAGTTTACCTGAGCTAATGGGAGCTCACCAACTCCAGCTGGACTGGGAAGGATCAAGCATAGGACCAAACTAGTTCCTCTGAATGTGGTTAGCATGGCTGGGACAGATTGAGGGGCCACTGTCAATGACACCAGGATTTATCCCTACTCCATGGACTGGCTTTTTGGGAACCTATTCTCTTTGGATAGATACCTCCTTGCTCAGCCTAGATATAGTAGGGAGGGCCTTGGATCTTCCCCAAAGCAATGTGCCTTACCCTCTCTGAGGATTGGATGGGGGTGGGGAAGGAGGGTGTGGGGAGGGAATAGGAGGAGGGGAGGGTGTGGGAACTTGGATTGATATATTTTAAAAATCTAATTTAAAAAATTACATCAAGGTTGTCAGGGTGATTCCCTCATTAAATACTAGCTACTACTCTCATGACCATTAGGTGGCGCCCACGCCTCAGCTCTTACGCGCTATATGAGTCCAGTGCTTGTGACTTTCCTTAGCAATTAGTTCCACAGCTCTGAAATCTTGGACTCTTATCCTGTGATGTGGGATTTTGCCCAGAGGAAGGCTACTGTCAGATGCCCAGTCTTGAACCTTGAGAATTCAGAGCTATCCAGCCTCAGATGTTTTATTATAGCAACATAAATGGACCCCGTCCTTTTCACATACAAAATACATTCATTCCAAGTCCCCCAATTTAATTCTAGTATTACCAAAATAAGATATGAAATTCAAATATTACTTTTAATGAGACTTTGAAATCAAACAAGCTAATTTCTTTCGAACTAAGGTAAGACCAGCTTAGGACAGACATTCCTTTTCTTATAATATCAGTGACAGTGAGAAAGAAGTTGAAGTCAACACAAACGTCCAAAGCCCAGAGTTACAAGTGCTATGAGACTTTAGAATAACCACATCAGAGCTCCCTGGTTCCCTCGTCCAGGCACTCAGGGCAGGGTACTTAGGAGTCTAGGGCTCTGGAGGAGCCCACTCCCTTGACCACTAGGTGGCGCTCACGCAGCAGCTTTTACAGACCGAGTCAAGCGTTTTCTGGCTTTCTGAGGTTGCAGTTGTATGTTACAAAGCGAGCTCCTCCCGAAACCTGGAAGAGGCCCCGCCTCTAGCTCTGCGAAACCTTTTCCTTGTGGGGACTCTACAGTGGCACAACTCCTGGCTCCAATAGACATTACTCTGTTGTGGCTCCTCTTCTGCCGCCACTCTCTGCCCAGGACCCGCCTCTTGAAGGCATCCCTTGAAATCCAGAAGAACGTGTCACACTGCCCCACTTCACAATTGGCTGACCGGACACCTTGAAGGACAGTAGAACCAAGGAGGGCCACATAGGAATGTAGGTGCAGCTGAGGTATCCCAAGTTCCATAGCGCACCTGGTTTTACCCTGAGGAAAGTGCTAAGTTGCTCAAACTGACCTCTAAGTGGTCATCCTCCTGTCTCAGCCTCTCAAGTAGCTGGGGTGACAGTCTTGCTTATGTGCCAACCCACCTGGCTTCTCTTTTGATTGTAAATTCTGTCTTTAACTTATTGCCTTCTTTTATTGTACATTAAGCAATCAAATACTCTTAACAATTTCCTCAGACGTTTTGTGTTGTTTACATTTCCACCAAATATCCTAGCTCATCGCTTTTGCAGTCTTTCGCCCACAGCATATCGGGTCACGAGAATAATACTGCCAAGTTCACTGTCACCTTGAGAGGCCAGTCTTTCCTTGGGTTCCCCACACCTTGTTCCTCATTTCCATCTCAGATGCACTCAGGATTGTCATTACCGTCCATGCTTTTGCCAACATTTGCATCAGAGCCATTGAAGACATCTCTCAGAAGGGCTGGGTCCTCCCTGCAGCTCCCCACTTCTGAGCTGCCGCCATTGTCATCCTTAATGTTCCATCAGTAGAAATCTAGAGGCCTTCTGTTGTGTACCTCAAACTCTTCCAGTCTGTCACCACTCACAGCCAAAGCCGTTGCCATGTTTGGGAGTGGTTACTGTAGCCAAAGCACAAACATAATACTAATATCTTAGTTTGTGGTATTATAACTAAATAGTGAAATGGAGTAGTTTTTTTTTTTTAAATGTTCCTCTAAGGCCCTGCCCCTCTTTAGGGCAGCACAGGTGTGAGAGAGCCAGCCCCAAAACTGACCAAGGGAGAACTGTCCCCATTTCCCATCTGGACCCAGGGTTATGACTTGGCCTACCCAACATCCATCCCACCTATGATCTGCATGAAACGAAGTGACCCACAGATCAAAAGCTGCAGGATCTCCACAGCACAGGGCAGCATGGGGATGTCCAGGAAGGGTCCTAGTGACCATCTTGTGGTGGAGACCAGGGGTCTCGAACCAGACCAATGCCTCTTTGTAATGAACACTTGCAAGTAGAGATGTAAGGACAAAGAGGAATAAAGTGTTACTTGTTGGGTTGCACTGCAGCTTCCATGACAAGATTTATAATTCGTTCCTTTTTTTTTATTTTCTCAATTTATTTTCTTCTTTTTTTTTGCTCTTAAATATTTTTTTTCTTGGGAGGGTACAAAGGGATGGAAATGAATGAGATCAAGATACATACATGATGTGAAAAAAATAAATTAATAATAAATTTATTTTTTAAACAAATGTAAAAATAAATTAAAAGATAAACCAATTAGAAATTGTTTCCCTCACTTCTAGAGGCTGAAAGCTTGAGGTGCTGGGATGCTCTGTTTGGTGAAGTTTTCTGTACTTCTGAGAGAGTGCCTGCTTGCTGAGTGTTCCTGAGGGGGATTCACCCATATCAATTACTAATCAAGAAAACAACCTCACAGGATTGCCCACAGGCCAATCTGATGGGGTGGGGTATTTTCTCAATCAACATTCCCTTTCCCCAACTGACTCCTCTTATATCACACTGACAAAACATAAACCGAGAAACACCCTCTAAAAGGGCCCTGGTTCCACATGTGAGAACTCCCTCCTCCATTGCACGGGTCCCTAAGAACCCCAACTCTTAGTAGTATCACATTGGCGGCAAAATATCAGCATAGGAATTTTGAGGGGATGATTTCTGAACAAAGTACATTTTCTATGCCATGTGGGAACACAGCTTCCATCCTATTCTGCCTTTTCTCCCATGTAAAGCGACTATGAGAAGCTTCCTTGACATTGAGCCTGCTGGAGGTCTTCCCGACAAGACAACTTCATCTATAGCCCTGCTATCTGGGAGAAACTTGTGGGCGTTGCCATGTGCCCCACCCTGCCAGTCTTCCTGGCCTATCCTGTTCTCCAGTAGCACAGAAAAATCCCAGCTCTCTGGGAGTATCCCCTGCCTTCAACTGCAGTGATTTCCTCTTACTT